TTTCGTCTTTCAGAAAGTCACGTATTGTATGATTATCTTCACTTTTTTCTTACTTAAAAGAACTGGTGTTGTAGTCCTTCGGTAAAAAGTGATATTCGTGCACAATGATAAAGATATGTTTCCTAAGCCATTGCAACCATGTGAATGCCACTTAAAAATGAAGGCACGACATTATCTTCTAGGCTTCCAATTGATGATATCCTTTTTCCCCATAAAGAGAGATAAATGAAAAAAGATGAGTATCACTTGTATATTAAGTGTAATCTAATATAATCTGTATTTGTGTTCCTTTTACCCTCATCCTTTGTTTATAGGTGGTACGTATCCATCTAAATTGAAATATATATATTTGTTTTAATATGTTCTGGTCCTTTTTCCAAATCGTGTTCATCTTTTCACTTCTACGCTTTTGTTTAGCTCATCACGTTAGAATGATTGGGTATTGTAGAAATAATACCACTTTTCCTTGATCACTTCTAACCATCAGTTTAAAAATTAAATTTTTCGTCTTTCAGAAAGTCACGTATTATATGATTATCTTCACTTTTTTCTTACTTAAAAAGAACTGGTGTTGTAGTCCTTCGGTAGAAATAATACCACTTTTCCTTGATCACTTCTAACCATCAGTTTAAAAATTAAATTTTTCGTCTTTCAGAAAGTCACGTATTGTATGATTATCTTCACTTTTTTCTTACTTAAAAGAACTGGTGTTGTAGTCCTTCGGTAAAAAGTGATATTCGTGCACAATGATAAAGATATGTTTCCTAAGCCATTGCAACCATGTGAATGCCACTTAAAAATGAAGGCACGACATTATCTTCTAGGCTTCCAATTGATGATATCCTTTTTCCCCATAAAGAGAGATAAATGAAAAAAGATGAGTATCACTTGTATATTAAGTGTAATCTAATATAACTTGTATTTGTGTTCCTTTTACCCTCATCCTTTGATAAAAAGACGGTAAGTATCCATCTAAATTCAAATATATATTTTTTAAAAATATGTTCTGGTCCTTTTTCCAAATCTTTTTCATCTTTTCACTTCTACGCTTTTGTTTAGCTCATCACGTTAGAATGATTGGGTGTTGTAGAAATAATACCACTTTTCCTTGATCACTTCTAACCATCAGTTTAAAAATTAAATTTTTCGTCTTTCAGAAAGTCACGTATTGTATGATTATCTTCACTTTTTTCTTACTTAAAAAGAACTGGTGTTGTAGTCCTTCGGTAAAAAGTGATATTCGTGCACAATGATAAAGATATGTTTCCTAAGCCATTGCAACCATGTGAATGCCACTTAAAAATGAAGGCACGACATTATCTTCTAGGCTTCCAATTGATGATATCCTTTTTCCCCATAAAGAGAGAGAAATGAAAAAAAGATGAGTATCACTTGTATATTAAGTGTAATCTAATATAATCTGTATTTGTGTTCCTTTTACCCTCATCCTTTGATAAAAAGACGGTAAGTATCCATCTAAATTTAAATATATCTTTTTTTAAAATATGTTCTGGTCCTTTTTCCAAATCTTGTTCATCTTTTCACTTCTACGCTTTTGTTTAGCTCATCACGTTAGAATGATTGGGTGTTGTAGAAATAATACCACTTTTCCTTGATCACTTCTAACCATCAGTTTAAACATTAAATTTTTCGTCTTTCAGAAAGTCACGTATTGTATGATTATCTTCACTTTTTTCTTACTTAAAAGAACTGGTGTTGTAGTCCTTCGGTAAAAAGTGATATTCGTGCACAATGATAAAGATATGTTTCCTAAGCCATTGCAACCATGTGAATGCCACTTAAAAATGAAGGCACGACATTATCTTCTATGCTTCCAATTGATGATATCCTTTTTCCCCATAAAGAGAGAGAAATGAAAAAAAGATGAGTATCACTTGTATATTAAGTGTAATCTAATATAATCTGTATTTGTGTTCCTTTTACCCTCATCCTTTGTTCATAGGCGGTAAGTATTCATCTAAATTCAAATATATATATTTTTTAAAATATGTTCTGGTCCTTTTTCCAAATCTTGTTCATCTTTTCACTTCTACGCTTTTGTTTAGCTCATCACGTTAGAATGATTGGGTGTTGTAGAAATAATACCACTTTTCCTTGATCACTTCTAACCATCAGTTTAAAAATTAAATTTTTCGTCTTTCAGAAAGTCACGTATTGTATGATTATCTTAACTTGTTTCTTGCTTAAAAGAACTGGGAGGTGTTTCACAAAGAGTTAAGTCCTGCATAAAGTCCTGCGTAAAGCCCAAAGTCCTACGTAAGTGGCTAAGTCATGCGTAGATTCTAGGTCATAAGTATATTATGTTTCACAAAGGTTTAGGTCATACGTAACTGCACTAAGTCATGCTTAGAATTACGCAGGGTCCAGACCCTGCGTAATTCTGCTTAAGTCATGCGTAAATCTACATGTAAAATGGCTGCCATGGTGGAGGAAGCTGTCGGTAGAGCTCTCCGGCGAGAGAGAGTTTTTAGGGATCGAACCAACCCCTTAGACGCCTATTGCGACACAGAGCTCCGTAAGAGGTATCGGTTCTCTCGCCGGGGATGCATCTACCTCATACATCTCCTCCGTATTGATCTCGAACACCCAACAGGAAGATCGAGGGCCCTCCCTGCTTCATTGCAGATATTTCTAGCGCTAGCATTTTTTGCTTCGGGGGCCCTCTTGACGACTGTTGGGACAATGCATTGGATCAGCATTGCCTCGACTTCAAGGGCCATACGACGGGTCACCAAGGCCCTATTCCGTAGAAGAAATCAAGTGAGTAGACATTTTTTTAACTTAGTTTTTAGAAGTATCCAAACAATTCAATGTGTTGCTTTAATTTCAATTTAGACAAGTTCTTTAGCAGTCACTGATTTTTATTTTATTTTCATAATTTATACATTTTGATTTTCAAATTTTAGCAGTTTTTAGGAGCATTAGCATGATTAGATAACATATTCTGATTTCTGAAAGTCTATTTGATGATAACAAAAGGTAGATCATAATCTAGAAGTAGAATTTACTCCATTTTTCCTTAGTTTGCTTGCACTTATTGCAGTTAATTGTCGTACCGTATACGGTGGGTCTACGCTACGCTAGCGGCTAAGGCTAAGCTAGCTAGCCCTGGCTTGATCAGACTAGCCTACGAGAACAAATTTAGCACCTTAGCTAGCTATAATTTACTGTATTTACAGCCTGATAAGACAAGCACAATAATTACAATGTGATACTAAGCTATAATGGGATGACGTATTCATTTAATTTAGCTCTATTTTGTAACTTACGCCGTAGCAACTGTAGTTTCGGTCGCTAAAATTAGAAAACTTGCAAAGTCAGTCCCATGCATGTTAAATTGTGTCATGACTAATGTTATTTATCAACAATTATTGAACGCAATCCAAATTGCAAAAACAGAGCAATTATAGCTATCGTCACCTCGTATTTGCACTCTTTGGCACTGCCCACTCTTTCTTATATCAGTTCATCAAATTTCCGAAGAGCGAGAGGGATGTCCTCCATATTCAGGAGCAATTCTTCGCGGTTGCAGGTTTCCCAAAGGTGGTAGGGGTAATAGACTGCACGCACGTACATCTACATGGCAGCAAGCTGAAGCCCATATAACACCTATACGTGAACAGGAAGAACCGCCACAGCATCAACGTCCAGCTGATCTGTGGGCCTGATTTCCTCATCTCAAATGTGGTGGCAAGGTGAAGAAAAAAAAACCCAACCATAATAAGGCGATGGGGTAAACAGAGGGGGGATGTTAAACACCTTCTCAGATCTGTCCAAAAAAAAAGAGGGAAAGAAAGGGCCAAACTGAGATTAGAAATATTGATAGAGTAAGAGAAAGAGAGAGATAGAAAGAAAGAGAGAGAGAGAGAGAGAGAGAGAGAGAGAGAGATAGAGATTGATTTTCGGAATTCAAGCTGATTAAAATATTGGGGCAATCTGTACATTATATTTCAATTCAATTCAATTCAGTTTATTTAAGTAGAAGTGGGAGTAAAATATTAATTGCTCATGCTAGTTAATTAGGTCAGTACCCAACTATCAATGAAATGGGAGAATTGATTAATGAATGGATAAGAAGTTCTGTATCTGGATAAACGAAATAGAGCTCTGTAAAGTGTCAAGCAATATTGTCTGTTTAAAAGGTTATTTCGACTGGGGTATGGTATATTAAAAAAATCTATTCACTTCTCATTTGAAAACTATCCGTCCTATTTTGCTCTGGTATTTGAAAATTAAGGTACTTTATAAAGTACCTTAAATTTAATAATAATAGGCATGATAATAAATTTATTATCATGCCTATTAAGAGCTCCGATATCCATGGAATAACATCGAAATTGGGGAGGGTGTGCAAGTAAGGGCTACTACCTGTAACAAGGCCAATTACCATAGAAAGGGTAATTTCGGCTCTATAAAAGGGCACTCGATCCTGCCCTCTTGCAAATTAAAAACTGCCATTGTTTCCTTTGATGTTGTTCATAGTACCTCAAATTTAGATATAAATAACAGGTCAATAAACTATTCTTTTTAGGGGGAAGGGATGGGCCGGTACTGGTTGTGTGTACGTGATTTTTATTTATTATTTTTTTTGCAAAGGGGCACGATGTGCCTGTTATAGAAATTAGTTATTTATTTCTTCTTTTTCCTATAGGGATGGGGAGGGGACCGATGACCCTCCTAAATGTCTTATAGAATGATCAACGTTAGGGATTAGTTCCCTAAAAGACTTGACATTTTTTTCTTCCTTGTCCCAAGCACATTCATATATTGCTGTTATTTGCATGGTTATCATTAATATTATATAAAGTGAAATAACATGAACTAATCTTATTTTTTATAACTCGTATTCAATGAAGGTGGCCAGGATCGACCCACGACAGTAGAATACTACAAATGAGCAGACTCGCGAGGAAGTTCGAGCAGAGAGAGTACAAAGGAATTTTGCTGGGAGACTCCTGATACCCCCTTCTTGAGTGGCTGATGACCCCGGTGTTGAATCCCTCAACCGACCAGGAGAAATCCTACAACAAGTATGTACAGATTAAACCACCCAATCGTTATAATATGAAATCGGCCAAAGATGCATAATGATATACGACACAAGCCCAAATAACACTGCCTTAGGACCTCTAATAATACACTGCATAAATAAAAACAAAAAAGTGATTCCTTATAAACTGTTGAAAGTGTGTAGGCTAATATATATATATTCATCTATGTATAGCTTTTAATCGCCCTTTTTTCACCCCCTCTTCAATTTTGATGAAATACCATGGGTAGAAGCTCGTAGGCAACCCTCTTCAATTTTTTTTTTAGAGAAAAGGGACCAGTGGTTCATGGAGGTATAGTTATCAAACCTCAAAGAAAATAATAAGAAATGTAATCTATCTATTTCTCTTTTGAAAACTACCTGCCTAATTTTTTTAGAGGGTTATTACTTTGCCTACGATTGGGTGGGTGTGAAATTGAGGGTTACTTCTTCTTCTTTTAAATTGATGATGAATTAACTTAACTTAACTTCCATTCTTTCAAAATTTAAACAGAAAAAAGTGTCAACACTAAACCGTCTCTCTCTATCCACCCCATCGTCCCAAAACATGCTGATGCTGCACATATTTTACTATTATTTTCTTGTATACAATTGTCATTTCCTGCAGTGCCCATGTGAAGACGAGGGTAAAAATAGAAATGTTGAATGGCCAGCTCAAGAATAAATTCCGGTGTCTCATCGGCCACGGCTTAGCCATGAAGCCAAAGAGAGCATGCGACGTGATCAACGCGTGTTGCATTCTGTTCAACATTTCTAAGAAGCTGCGAGAACCTGATGTGGAGGACGACATCCAAGTCATTGATGAGGCTGATGATGCCTTTCACGGTGCAGAATATAACATTGGGGGTCAAGCTGCTCGATCACATATAATAAACAACTTTTTTGTTTAATTCATTTTGACCATTACATATATACTTTTTTTCTCACTCACTCTAGCTCTATCTCAGATTTTCAGGGTTTCTCTATATATCCGTGCATTTATTTTCATTCTATCTCTCTCGCATCTTTACTTTGTCAGTCCTCTCTCGACTAGCTCAAGTATACAGTTTCTGTTTATTTACACTATTTACAATACCGTAAATATAGAGGCCATGAGTTTTTCTCTTAAAATAATATGCAGTTTTCAAGATAATTATTTCAATATGCATATGACCACCTCTGTATTTGAAATCTACCAACACCATGCTAATTAATGTGTTAATGGCATCGTAACTGTGCTCCTGACATTGCAAATGATTTGCTTCATTGCTAAAGCATGTTTTATCGAAAAGCATGTTTCATTCAACCTTTGTTGGCTGAATTGTAAATAAATTGTAAATAAAACTGTAATATATCTCACTTCATGAGTTCTAGCTGTCCTATTTTCAATATCCGCTTGTCTTAAAGCTAGTAGTCTTCATTTACACACCCTTATCGATTTCAATAAAATTCCATGGGTAAGAAGCAACACATTTCCTTAGACGATGCTATACATTTCTTCAAGAAACTTTAATAAGTTATGCTGATAAATTAGATAAATAGTCATCAATAATTTTGAATAATTTACACTTATATGTACAAAACTAAAAAAATGAAACAATCCTATCAGATATAATACAATGTAGGAATGTGGTGAAATCGTGTTTCCAAAAAAGCTACAATATAAAGCTATTTACATTCTTAAAATATTAAATCCAATCCAATTTAAAAAGTTCATTAGATATACTATCTTTTTTCAATATGAACCAATGAAATAATTCAAACCTTATAATGTTATGCTCTGAACGTCTATATTATTGATATATTTAAATCTATGAGGTTTCCTAACCCATCTTGCACATTTCAGAGCAAATAATTGAAAGAGTTTATAATACATTCAGTCCTTTCAAAACGTATAGGTGAAGAAAAAAAAACTTGTCACTGTTCCAATGACACTTTCTATCATACTAATTTCAGATGGCACAGTCACCTACTAATAATGTAAAAATGAGAACATATCATTTCCTTTCGGTGGTGAGGTGGAGGAACGGAAGCAGAAGGCATGAGAGGAGTGCGAGGCCTTGCTAAGAGCTGCTGGTGGATGCCAGCGCGAGTGAAAAGATGTACGGAAGAAATGGCAGGAGTCGAAGACCAAGGAACTTGCATGCATGTCCAAGTCCAAAAATGACAGATAAAACTTTAAATACACCAAAGATGTATTTAGAGGGAATTGAATAATCTAAGATGAGGCCGGTCTTGAACAACGATGACATTGAAACGGTAGTTATATTTTTATGATTCCCTAATAAAGCCTGGTTAGCACTTTTGCACCCTCATAATTATATAATAATTTAACAAACAATAAAAGGATACAAAAGGTAACCAGGTCTTTAGAAGAACAAAATGCTGGAGAAAATTTACATTCAAGAAAATTATTTAACTATTCCAAATATTCCAAATATATAGTATTCTCCAAATCTCTTTGTTTAATCAGAGAATGGAATAATTTATGGAAACCCAAAATGCGGATGTTTTTAATTTTTGAAAGAAGAACAAGTGATTTAATAAAGTCAAAACAAAATAAAAAATGGAAAATAGAAAATAATTACTCTTCCTTTTTTTTGAGGAGAGAAATAATAATTTCTAGTTGAATTGAAATTGTCTCCAGCATTTTGTTCTGGTGGGACTGGCAGGGCAAGCACCCAGGATGCTGATGAGGAGGTGGTTCCTGTGGTAGAGTGATTGATGGTAGAGGGGTTGATGGAGGAATAAAAACACTTGGTCCAGCCCTCATCACTCTATCACTGGAACCTGCCTCATCATCAGCATCCTGGATGGCTCCTGCCAGGAGATCTATGTCTATTTCGGGGTCAATTTCTGGAAATTCCTGGCTGTCCTGTAAAGAAAACCAAAAGAAAACAGATGATTACTTGCAAGAATTGTTTATATTGTGGTATCAATAGATTCATCATTTTGTTTTAAAAATATTAACTTAAGTACAAGGCCACTCCACTGAAATGTTGAGCTGATTAGATACCGGTAGACAAAACCTAAAAAGCCCAAATCTAACTTGGTTTTGGAAAATGGTGCTCAAACTTATTTTTAATAATTTTTTTAATGAGCAAAAAACAAGTTAATGATCGAGCCGGTTCTCCCCCACAATGAATTGCGCAACATTTTTTTGTGATGTAGGGTCCTCACAACAGAGACACAAAAACATTATCGATGATTATGGAATTCATACTGTTTGACCACACAAAGTTAACACCCTAATTATATCACGATATGTAGTGTAATACTCACATCTACGCCGGCCACATCCTCGGACCCACAGATCCCATCTTTGCACTGGGGGGCCAGCACCTCCAACACCCTTTCAAAAACGACCGTCATATGAGGTGCTGGTCCTCCTCCTGAAAGATATAAGCAACAGTTTTTTTTTTTTTAAATCAAAACAGTATGACATGTTGTATAGGGTACCTATTTATTTTCCTATAACGAACATTATCCATATACCCAAGTAAATGGGAACGTGAGCAGTTCTTAAAAAGTAATTGTCGAGCCTTGACCAAATGAATTCAAAATTTAATCCGTAATCCTTGTTGGTTATTCATATAATATCAAATTTGATAAGGAAAGCTGAAACCGGCATTCTCCGATTGTCAGCATGTATTAATCTCCATGAGTTTGAATTATCATGAAATATTACTTGAGAATTAAACTCAGTACAAATAGGGCTCTGAATTGTTTATTTGGTCAAAGATAAATGTTATGTTAGGTTAATCTCATTTAGTGCCCACACATCCAATCCAATCCAGGAATTTATAAAGCGCCAATATCTAGTTGCCTAATCAAAGGCGCTGATGAGACTGAAAAATGTCTATTGATGATTCTAAATGAGAAAGACAAACAAAGCAGTGACTAATTGTAAGCAATCTGAATGTCTTTAGTTGAGTCCTGACAGTGGAAAGCTTGTGACAAGGGCACAGAATTTGGGGAAGACCATTCCACAATCTTGATGCACAGGCAGTAAATGATCGCAAATTAAAATAATACCTGTCATTTTGGACTTCGACCTGCATGCCAGGGCCCTGGTCTTCAGCTCCTGCCATTTTTTACGGACGTCCTTCCATTCACGCTGGCATCCACCAGCAGCTCTCAACAAGGCCTCGCACTGCTCCCATGCCTTCTGCTTCCGTTCCTCCACCTGGACGGTTCAAAATAGATTAACGGACAAAAGAATGATATAATTAACCTATAAAAGAATGACATGTTCTCTATGTACTTAATGCATATGATTTAATCATACACATATATTTTGCATTTAAATGAGAATAATAGAAGTGACATATCAATGGGTTCCATGAATGAGCCTCCAGTACCAATTTTATTTAAAATGGTCCATTTTTACAAATTAACAACAAATCATTAAATACAACTATTAGTTTCCTATAAAGAAATGTATGGAATTTTAAAATTAAGTTTGGAAAAACGCTGATAAAATCCCCAAAGCACCTAAGAGTATTTCATTTGTGTTGATATCTTTAATATGGAATCATCACGGAGTGCCAATTCATATTACATATATTCCTATAAATAGTAAGATAAACAAAATTGTTTTAATTACTCGAACTATACACTGCCTTTTAAGTTAACAAATACTAACCCGTTTCCCACAAAATCCTGCCTTTCCGAACAGGGCCTGTGTATTTTGGCTGACGAATGTCACCATCGCATACTGTTCTTCTGTAGAAAAGTTGGCTTTCCTTTCTCTTTTCTGTAAAGAATAAAAATATCACTTATTAGAAGGCAGATTACATTAAATCATAATTCAGTTGATTTATTAGATTAAATAAAATAATCTAATTTCTTCATCAAATTCATCATTATCCTTATCGTCATCTCTATGGAAGTGTAGGTTGTCGTGTCGGTCTCCTGGTCGAGATCTAGCAGTAGATTGTTGCAGCTAATTCCAGTCTGTACCATGTATGAACAAACAATTGTGAAGGAAAAAAAATCTTTCCTCCCGCTGTAATGTACGTTGAGAAATAAACTATGCCAATCAGCGAAAAAAATATGATGTGGAAATAATCGTAGTAGTGTGTGACTCTTTGAAGCTCGTTAAATTACCAGAGTTCTTACATTGTACTGATCTTTTATAAAACAAGAAGCTCACCTCTCAACAGTAAAAGTCATTTACTATTCAGTTCAGAAAATAATCAACTGCGAAAGTATTGAACAGGTTGAAAAACTTTAAATCAATTTCAATTAAGACAATTAACCCCCTATTCACCATGAAACAACAAAGAAAACCACTGGAATTGAAAGCTCTGTACTGCAGTGTGAACCTTTATACTTATGTTCAATATAAAGCTCTGTCATTCTTTCCAGTAGCCATCCAACTACATGCATCACAAACTTATTTAGGATTGAACTATTATATTTAATGTACATCAGTACGAGAATACACCCAACGGTGGCCTGTACTTATAGCGAAGAAGAAGAAAAGCCTGAAATTGAGCTTCAGTCGACAGCACTCGACAAACACAAGTACGATAATACGCCAACAGCGGTCTGTACTTAATCGGAAGAAGAAGAAGATATAATAACACAAATTCTGGCAAATAATTGAAAACTTAAATTTAATATAACTCATTGTAATTGAACAGATCTAGGATCTTCATCTTAATTTACCTTCGGAATAGGAGAAGCCATGTTCCTGTGCTAGCTATCCCTGCTCTCTTCAAGTCTGAAAAAAGAAAAGGAAAGTAGATTTAGATATAGTCTAATACTATTATTGTTTATATATCCTATTATAAAATCATACTCAGTCATAGTTCATACCCATTATTTTTTCTTCAATTTCGTGGGAGAAGGGGGGGGGGGGGGTGCAAACGATTCTTAGTACTCTTTCTTAGTCTTAATTACTCTTACAAGTTTTATTATCGTTAATTATTGTAATGTTATGTAGACCTACAAATATTAAATAATAAATAAACATCTACATCTAGATCTACATCTAGACTACATGATCCATGGATCTAGTTATCTACATGAATGTAATAATATTCCCCACGGAGTAGCAAACGCAGATGAGCTCACCATCATACTCATACTTATACTCAGTCACAGTCATAGTACTACTACATTAGACAACAGACAGGAAACAGAAAAATATCTAGTAAATAAGTAACTAAGAAAGACATGCGAACATTCATCTAGACAAGTATTATTACCTTTTACTGACTAAGGTCAGGCAGTAATGGTAGTCGTAGTTCGTTCTAATAATATAATCTAAATCATCGTCTCATGTCTGCAACTGCAAGTAATCTAGTGAAACGTATCACGAATTCACATCA